TGACCTCTGGTAACTCTCCAGAAGCAGCATATTGGATAATCATGGTCAAGAAAAGCCACATCTCTTACTGAGCCTGGCCCTGGAGATGGCACTCTCCCCTGGGAGGTCTTTGGGGCCACACAGGGCAGTGGCTGCACAAATTTGGTGACCAGTTTGATGTCCACGGCTCTCTGGACTCCCTGCTGCCCACGTTTGCTCAAGGAATCAATGTCTGCTGAGGGCTTCCTCAGTCAAATTCAGCTCAGGCTTAGGGAACACTGGGGCTGTAGGGCAGATGGCAGAGCCCACATGTCTGGGATCTGAATGCTCCTGCCCCTCTTGATCACAGCATTTCAGAGCTGGAAGCCTCCCTGGAATTCTCCCGAGGCCACATGAGTTGCCAGGCATGGATAGAGCTATCTCGTTGCACTGAGGGACTCCCTCTGGCAGTTGGCAGGAATGCGCTGTGCTGTGAGCTTCCGGACATAGGCATGGTAACCTGCTGCAAAGCTCTGCAGCCCAGGAGTAGGAGGCCTTAGGCTGACCTCGCCAAGACCCACAGTGAAGACAGAGGAACAATGTGTGGGTGGGAGATTCTGGGGAGCCAAGCAGAGCAGAAGGGAAATGCATGACTAAGTTCAGGGAGGGAGGCAGCAAGGAAGGTGGGGGTGGAGGAGGCCACAGAGCAACGCCAGATCAGGAGAGATCCCAAGTGGAGAGGGTAAAAGGGGATGGGGTGAAGGGCTGCAATGAAGGCAAAGGGCCAGCAGTGACCAGAGGGCATTACAGAGATGAGGATGTGGAGGGGGACAGGGTCTCAGCTGAGATAGTGTAAGGGTGCTTTTTGATGTAAAGATGCTCCAGAAACAACTGGGGAAGATCTTTGAAGGTTCTCCACAAAGCAATTTGAGGTGTTGGAATGAGTGGAGGGAAGGATAAGACCATTAGACCCAGAGTGTCATGGGGAATGAATGACACCATCAGGAAGAGCAAGGACAGCATATGCGAGTGACTTGGACTCCCTAAGGGGAGTAGCCACCTGTGACGAGGTGGGGGACTGGAAGGCAGCCTCAGTGGTGGGAATGGATGGACCTAACTCCAGGCCACAGGCAGAAGTCCAGTTGGATGGATGGAAAGTGAGCCAGGGAAAATAGTAAAAGGCAGCAGGTCTGGTTCCCGAAAAGGATTTCCAGGTACGTGAGGACAAGAACAGCCAAGGGGACTCTAGGGAGAGCAGCAGATAAAGGATAAAGGGGTCATCTGGGAAGGCAGGCGCAGGCTTGGGGAGAAGAATGGGGAGAGTGGAGCAAGGCCCTGGGTAGGCTGGCAAGAAGGGAACCCAGCACTGGAGCTGAACCAGGAGGGGAGCCTTGATTCCAGAAGCCAGCTGTGCACTCCAGGTCAGGAAATGACATTGCTGGATCTGGGTTCCCTATCTTACTGAGGACTGACAGGAAGTACACAGGTATCAGGTGGAAGACCCTTGAATCCAGGCCCACATTACTGGGGTCAGTCAACAAGCCAGCCTTGAAACAGATCTGAGATCTCAGCTCCTGAACTAATGGGGCTGAATGGGGAAAGGCCACTGCTTTCTGCTGCTCTTCAAGAGCCCAGAGACCCAGGAGCCCTTTCACAGGCTGGCGCCTCCCAAAGGGCTCTTCTGTGGTGATAACGAGCCCATGGTGATACAGACACCCCTGATTTACAGGTTTTGCAGGGAATTCTCATGACTGTCTCATGTTTCCAAAACAAAGAGAGCACCTCTCAGAAACACAAAAGCATGATGGAAACCTACACTGTGCCACAGAGAGCACAGGAGACTTTCTGACCCTTCCCCTTCCCCTTGCTGTTGGCCCTGGGCTTCCCTCAGACACTTCCTCCTGCCTTTCAGAACCACAAGCCACAGTGCCGTTCATGCCTCCACCTCCCCCAACACACACACACACACACACACACACAAACACACACACAGAGCCCACCTTCAGGAAAGCAGGAATTGTGAGCCCAGGGAGGAAATGGAGAGAGAAAAGTCCTCCTCTCCTCACTCTCTCTCCTCCAAACCCCAGCACAAACAGGCAGAGGGAGAAAGGACCGCAGTGCTCAAATAGTAAGAGAACATGAGAGCAAAGGGGTGTCCAATCACATCCTTCTGTTGTTTTCTCCAGTCCCTGGGCCACCCCAACCCAATCCCCAGGAGCACCCTGGCCAAGGCTCACTCAAGGTCAGGAGCAGCATGAGGCTGAGGTACATCCCCTGCTCTAGGAAGAGGAAGCAAGTTCTTGCCATCTGAGCTGGAATTGCAATGGCAACAATACCTCCAAGATCGGATTACAGTTCTCAGATGGCATTCTATCTCGGGGTCACAAAAGGCCAACATAGGTTTCTGTGGACTGAGATGTGACATACCCCCTGTAGGAAGTCAATCAGTCTGCTTTTTACCTTTCATTAATTCAGAAGAATTTATTGAGTGCCAACGACCAGCTGGGCAGAGTCCCTGCCCTCAAGGAGCTACACAGACTAGAGGTAAGCACAGAAATAGACAGAAATCCCGTGTGACCAAGCTGTGTCGGTGGAGAGCTCGGAGTGCATTTTAATGTTTGTACATTGGGGACGGCTTATGCAGCACAAAAACACTAAACTCATGCATGTTTCTGCTTCTGAAAATAGTACACGAATAGGTCGTGAGAAAGCTGGAGGGAATTACACAATGACTTACGGTCAGTTAGCCCTTGTTCATGAAGAACAAAAATTCTAGATGTCTGAGCTGGCTGCAAGGCAATAAACAGGAACTTTTATAGTCTAAGGATTTAGCTTCCATTTCCAAATGAAAATGTTTATTTCTTGCAGTATATTTTTGTGTCTTTGGAGAATGCCTTTGGCTGCGGATGTTTGCCGTAAGCCAGGGATATAAAGTTGACACCTGAACACTGGGGCTGGTTTACGCCCCACCCACGTGAGTCAGAGAAGAGTAGATCCACCTGGTGGGAGGAACAGGAGAGAGAGTGGGAAAAGCCTGGGCTGGCCTTTGAAGTGACAGACAGGCTGAAGCAGGAAGTGTGAGGAAAGGGACTGCTCCAGAGGGTGATGTCCAGCACACGCTGAGTGGGGATAAGGAAAGGCAGGAAGATGCACTCAGGTAAACTCTCAAAGTTGCTGCAATTATCATCATGCGAATAAGCGAAGCCACAATCATGGCATCACAAAATACAAGTTTGACCAAATTATCTCCTTCTGTGCCTCACTTTACTCATCTATAAAACGGGAACAATGATGCTATCCATCTCACAGAGATGAGTGAGGATTAAATAAGTGACTACATGGTGAGCACGGTGAGCAATGCTCTAGTATGTGCTCAGTACATGTTGGCCTTTATTGTCATTTATTTCCTTCTCAGGGGAACGGGGTGGCAAATAATCCACTATACTCATATCATATATAAAAGTATTCTCAGTGGTTTCTGTAAATCGCATTTCACTCTACCTGTGGGGAAAAAAAGGAGATGTAAATTATTTCAAATAGAGAGACACATACTTTAAAATATTGAGTTTATTTTTAAAAATCAGCACAGTACAAACTGCCACACAAATTACTTTACACTAGCAACGACAGGTGCTATTAATTCAAGTATACACATTTCACTCCCCAGATTAAAGACCTCGTAATTTACCTTGAAGCTCTTTACATTCTGAAGTTATAAAAATTAAGCAGGAAAACATTAACATTAAATGAAAATCAATTTTGCACAAATAAATGTGATCAAGCAGCTTAAATCACCTGAATTTCTTGTACGTCAGAGAAAAATCCCAGGTGACAACACTACCGGTTCTAAAAAGAGTTCCATCATTCCCTGGGGAAGCCTCAGGCTAAGAATTGAGGGAAAGCCTTTCCGGGCAGTGGCCTGAGTTTCACACACATTCCTTTTTCTGAATTCAGTTTCTGAAAACACAGGCTTTTCGCTTGACAAACATGATTTGTAAGATGTTGGAGGACTAGGCTATATAGGTTCTTAAGTTTCTTCCTTTCTCTGGGGAGACAAGGAGGTCTTCACGCCATCCATCTGTTCTCCACTCCCACTCGGGCTTCCTTTGTGGTATAAAATGGAGATACTTCTGACCTCATTGGAGACAGGGCGAGCGCTGTACCTTCGCCCAGGCACAGCAGAAGGCCTGGTCCTCTCCCGATGTCCTCAAACTTCCTCTGGTTTTAGAGAAATTTTTTACACCAGATTGTGTCAACACACAGCAATAAAATATGCTGAGGAACTAAAAATGTGAAAAATCACCTACGAGTGGAACATTAAGGAAATGTGTGTCTATTAGTGTGCACTGATGACGAGTAGACTCCTGTTTGTAATCAGCTGCAGCAGAGCAGAGGTTTGGACGCAGAGCCAAACTGTGCTCTCCCTGAGTCTACAGTCTAATAGGGACAGAGGTCCCGACAGAAAATCGTCAAATATGCAAAACAGGAGCCCAGTGATGGGAGCAGCTAGGAGCTGTTGGCATCTATGCCACCGAGAGTTCAACAGCACACTGAATCCCTATGTGAAATATGAGTATCAATTATGTTTCAAAACATTTTCATCACGAAACTGAGCCAGAGGAATGAAGATCATATTTCAACAGGAAAAGTCTACATTCTGAAAATATCATCATCATCAAGTGGTGTTTCTGGGCACTGGTAAGTGTAATAAATACATTGCATCGTACATTTCTAGAACCATTGCCATGACAAAAGAAATGCAAAGTGAGGATGGCCCCCCCGCCGGCACTGCCTTCCTCTCAGTGGGCAGCACCTTCTGGGTGGACAGCTGAGGATAAACACTTCCTGTGGGCCAAAACAAAGGGTGGTGCCATCCCTTCTCCAGTGTGACACAGAGGGCCTTGCCTCGAAGAGCCTTTATGTAGCAGCCTCTAAGAATTCTGAGGTGAACACAGCTTCTGCATAATCTTCACACATATCCTGAAGTTCAGCAGCCACGGCACCCAGAGCTTCATCTACCAGCTCTTCTGAAAAGCTGGAAGACAAACAACATGACTAAAGGTATGTACAAGGCTGGGCACAGTGGCTCAAGCCTGTAGTCCCAGCACTTTGGGAGGCCAAGGCAGGTGGATCACCTGAGGTCAGGAGTTTGACACCAGCCTGGCCAACATGGTCAAACCCTGTCTCTACTAAAAATATGTAAAATTAGCTTGGCGTGGTGGCAGGCATGCCTGTAATCCCAGTTACTTGGGAGACTAAGGCAGAACTGCTTGAACCCAGGAGGCGGAGGTTGCAGTGAGCCAAGATCATGCCATTGCACTCCAGCCTGGGCGACAGAGCGAGATTCCATCTCAAAATAAATAAAATAAAATAAAATAAAGGTATGTACAGCCATATATGGGAGCCATTCTTTTACTCAGCTGTGGAAATTAACACGTCAATTCTGAAATCTAAATGGAAACAGAGAAGGCCAAAAATAGCCAAGATACTTTTAAAGAAGGAAAACAAGGTGTAAGGTCCTGCTCTCCTGAACAGAAGGATGGTGGCGCTCAGATCCCAAAGCCCTGCTAGAGGGATAAGCTTTAAACATACACAGGATGGACTTCATCCTCAATATGTCTGAAACCAGAGATGACCAGAAACCAACCAGCTGACACCTAGTCCCACCTCTAACAGCTGCTTGACTGACTAACGGAGGAAAGGGGTGTGTCTTCTCTGCAGAAGCCCAGGTGCTCTACACACACACACACACACACACACACACACACACACACACAAACCCCTTTATTTTCTGAACTGTTTGAGAGCAGGGTGCAGGCTTCATATCTCCCAAATAGCCCTACACACAAGGACATTCTCTTAAATAACCACGTTACAATTATAACAATTATAAAATTAACAATGATACAAAACTATTATCTAGTCTTGTCTACAGGCCTTATTCAAATTTTGCCAACCATCCAATGTCCTTCAAAAGAAAATTTTTTCTAGTCCAAGATTCTAGTCGAGGATTCTATGTCACATTTAGTTGTCATATCTTCGTCTACTTTAATCTGAAATAGTTCTTCAGTCTTTCTTTGCCTCTCATGACCATAACATTTTTTAAAGAGTAAAGGCCTTTTTTGGGAGGAGAATGTCCCTCAATTTGGGTTTTTTCTTTAAGATCAGATTCAGGCCATCTGAAAGGAACGTCCCAGAAGGATACTGTTTCCCTTCAGTGCACCGTGATATCTATTTACTATCCTTTAATGATGACAGTTAATTTTGCATCCCTGGGTTATGGTGATGTCTGCCAGGTTTCTCCCTTGGATTACTGTTTTTGCTTTTGTAATTAATAGGTATAGTGGAGGGAGATACTTTGAGACTACGTAAATTCCTGCTTCTCATCAAACTTGCCTAAATCAATTATTACAGGGTTGCCAAACACTGATTTTATAATTCCATCATTCCTTCTTCAATTAATAGCTGGCATTCTACTGTAATGAAGAGCTTTCCTTTTTCCTTTACTTACGGATTCATTCATATCAGTTTGGTCTTCTAGATTCTTATTTTATTGTGTAGTTTGTAATCCACTACTATTATTACTTATTTGGAAGCTTGAAAATGTCCTGGCTTTGGCCAGAAGGCACCTCTTCAAGCTGGCTCCTGTAGCATGTCCCAATCATTTTTTGAGCACTTCCTTTCTAGCACAGTATGTTTAAGGCTTATCTTACATTTTTCCAGCCCCAGCCCGTCTTGTAATCACCTCTTCTTCCAAGAAGCCCTAGTACCTTTTCAAGGAGAACAGTATTTAGAAACCAAGATGTGGGTAACAGGTGTGCTGATTGCTACTGGCGCCTCTGCTTCTGGGCCTTCTCAGCAGACAAACTAAGAAAGACCCTGTATCTATTTCTACATCTATTAAAAACCATACATTCATCCTAGCCTTCCCCTAGAAACCCTGCTGCCATTATTCACAATGTACTTATTTGACCAGTGGTAAAATATAGAGAAAGTAGTTTTAGAACTGTTAACCCATGCCACTGTGTAAAAGAAACCTACGAACTAGAATCGTTATGTGTTTACAGTTCTTTTTGTCTTTAGCCAGAGAGGTATAGAATCAAAAAGTGACTTAGGCTTCATCTCGTTAGTGTGATATTATTTATCTGAAATACAATTAGATTCATGTTTCCTTTTATATTCAATTTAAGGGTCCCCCACCAATTCTTGTTGAGTAGAGGGGATGTATAAGAAACGTTCACATGATTTCAAAAGTCAGAGTTACACAAAAAAGGTAAATAAATGCAAGTACGTTTCATTCCCCTCTCTTATCCCTTCTACCCCATTACCACCCAGTTGTTTTGTTCATTTGCGAATCTGACAATCTTTTGTCTTTTAACTGGCATGTAAGGTCCTTTTTCATTTAATGTTATTCTGATACTTTTGAATTTATGCTTCTACCATAATAGGTATTTTCTGTATTTGTCTCTTTGTTCTCTCTTCTTTCTTGCTTTCCTTTAGATTTTGTGATTTTTAAACTACATCTGTTCTTCTCTATTGACGTGGACATTACATGCACTTGTATTATTCTTTGAGTGGCCACCCTAGGTCACAACAAGTATCTACGATTGACAACTAACTTTAATTGATATCCTTACTTTTTTCCTATACAATGCAATGATCTTAGAATGCTAACTCTATTTATCCCCTTCCTGACGTATATTCTTACATGCTATTGTTAATGTATATTTTAAACGTGGGAGTACACATACACATGCATTCATAAAACATCAGGTTTTTTTGTTTTTTTTTTTTTTTAAAGACAGGGTTTCACCATGTTGGTCAGGCTGGTCTTGAACTCCCGACCTCAGGTGATCCGCCCGCTTTGGCCTCCAAAGTGTTTGGATTACAGGCGTGAGCCACCACACCCGGCCCCATAAAACATCAGTATTATTGCTTCATACATACTATATTTACTTTAACCTACATATTTACCTATTTTTAAAATTCATGCCTTCCTATATTTCTGACCTTCCGTCTGTGACTGATTTTAACATTTCCCACAGTGGTGGTCTAGTGGTAACTCAGCTTTGTTAGGAAACTCTTTTCTCACCTTGCCTTCTGATATATCCTCACTGGGCTTAGAACTCCACATTAGTAGTTCTTTTCTTTTGGAATTTTAAAAGATACGCCAAGTCTTCCAGCTTCCACTGTTTTTGTTTATATTGTTTTTTCTTCCTCTAGCTAATTTTAAGATTTTCTCTGTCTGCAATTTTTCAGTAATATGAAGACATGAATAAGTATGGATTTCTTTATATTTTTCTTACTTGGGGTTTTTGGAGCTTCTTGAATCTATGGTTTGATGTCTTTTGCTACTCGGGGGAAGTGATGGCCATTATCTCTTGGGATGTTGTTTCCGACTCATTTTCTCTTTCTCCTGTCCTGAGATTCCAACAACATGTTAGACCTTCTAACCTCCTCTATGTCCCTTTCCCTCTCTTCTTCACTTTTAATCTCTGGGAATCCCCTGGATATTTTCTTCTATCCTATGTTCCAAGTCTCTAATTTTTAATTCTGTTGTGTCTAATTTGCTATTAAGCCCATGTAATAAATTCCTCATTTCAGAAAAGTTATCTTTCATTCTAGAATGTCCACTTGGATTTTGTTTAGTTCCCAGATCTATGCTGAAGTTCTAATTCGTGTCTTTCATTTCTATGAATGCACTAGGCACAGTTATTTTAAAGTCTGTGTCTGGTGGCTCTATATTTGAATCTGCTGTAGGTCTGTTCTTGTTATTGTCTTGTTTCTCTGTTGCCTGGTTATTTTTCACCATATGCCAGACATTGTATTTGACAATTGTAGAAATAAATTGAGTCCTAAGATGATGTTATTTTCCTCCAGAGAAAATTTATGTTTCCTAATGCTTGGTGCCTGTGGGGCAGTAACAATCTAGAATCACCTCAATCCAATCTGAGATAATTTGGAGCTGAGTGGAGTCCATGAGAGGGCCTATTCCAGGTCACCTGTACTTCCAGAGTGCAATCTTTTAGGGTCCCAATTAAAAGTGAGGAAAGTTCACCAGGACAACTCCTCCATTTTGGCAACCCATGGATTCCAACCTCTGTCCTCTGATCTGAAAAGACTGTCAGAAGTGCTGCTCATCTCTCTCCAAACTGGATATCCAGTGCTCAACAAAGGGCTAACCTCCCCAGGGCTCTGTCTTCTCCAGGATTCTGGCCCAATTATTCTTCATTACCTAGTTCACTTCTTGATGCCTTCAAGAATATAGGTTTTATTTTTAATACAGCTTTTCTATTAACAGTTATCCTCAGTGGGAGAGGTGGTCCAAATTACCAAGTGCGTCATCACTAGGAGCAAAAGTGATTACCTCGTTTTTATATTTGCTTCATTTTCTATATTCCTATCACTAATTTATACCCACACTGCGAGAGAAATGCAAGGGTACTTCCACTACCTTCCAACATATTAGGTACTGTATCTTTTTTTCTTCTTCCTTTTTAATCTTCCCTGTTCTGCTTTTCCCCTTGTGGAACCATCCACCCCCTAAAGTGCTCTAATCTGGACTAGTTCTTCTCTATGCTTACTGAAAAATCTTGTCCTAGAAAGGCTTTTGCCATTCTTCTGGAAGTTCCAGGGTAGAGTCTAAGTTTCCTAAAATCCAATTATTCTTCTTTCTTAATGTATATCTTGCACTGGTAATTTAGATCCTCCAGAAGCATGGGAACTAAATTTTTAAACACTTTGCCTACCTGAAAATGTGTTTTTGTTTTTTTAGAGATGCGGTCTTGCTCCACTGCCCAGGCTAGAGTGCAGTGGTGCCAACTCGGCTCACTGCAGCCTTGACCTCCTGGGCTCAAGCAATCCTTCCACCTCAGCCTCCTGAGTAACTGGGACTACAGGCATGTACCACCATGCCCAGCTAATATTTTATTTTTTTGTAGAGGCCAAGTCTCACTATGTTGTTTGGGCTGGCATCAAACTCCTGGGCTCAAGCAATCCTCCCACCTCAGCCTCTCAAAGTGCTGGGATTAGATAGGAACCACCATACCTAGCCCTAAAAAATGTTTCTATTCTATCTGTCCTTATCTTTAATTGACAATTTATCTGAGCACATAATTCTAGGTTACATTTTGGAAGTAGGCTCTAATATCTTCTAGTTTCTGGTGTTGCTACTAAAAACAACATGCCATTCTCATTCCTGATTATTTAAATGTGTACAGTCATTTTTCTTTTCCTTATACTGAGATGCTCAAATTTTCATAATGATGTGTCATGGTGTGTTCTGTTCTATTCATATATTCCTTCACTCACTCATTCACTTCTAAGTGGACAGCTGATGAACCCTTTCAATCCAAAGACTAACAGCCTTCTGGGAAATTTTCTTATAGCATTTCTCTGATAATTTCCCATTGCTCCTATTTCCCTTTTTCCACATTCTTGAACTACAGTGATTCAAGATGTTGAATCTCCTACAACAGGCCTCTAATTTAAAAAAATATTTTCTTCCTTATTATCTAGCTTCTCGTCTTTTTATTCTACTGCCTGAGACATTTGACTTTTTTCTTTGGATCCTTCTAGTGAGTTTACCTGAACCATCATGTTTTTAATATCTATGAACTTCCTTTTCATTCCCTTAAAGTTCCTTTTTTATAGTATCCTGTTCTTGTTTCATGACAAAACAATTTCACTTAGCTCTCTGAGAATATTAATTCTAGTCTGTTTTTAAAGTCTTATTCTGCTCACTGTATTGTCTCTGCTTTGCTTCCACAGAGTGCTTATCTATTATAATAGCCTATGTATCCTTCATGGATTTTATCAAATGTCTGGTCATTTCAGCTGTCTGCTCATTTTCAAGAACATGAATTTCAACCAAGCCTCCTATTTCCTGGCTCACCTGTTGATACTATTCATATATTTGTTACTGCTCAAATCTCATGATGAACTGCAATCCCCAGTGCTGGAGGTGGGCCTGGTGGAAAGTGTTTAGATCATGTAATAGGATCCCTCATGGCTTAGTGCTGTCTTCACAACAGTGACTTCTCATGAGATCTGGTCATTTGAAAGTGTGTGGTATCCTCTCCCACCCCTTGCTTACTCCTTCTTTTGCTATGTGATGTAACTGGTCCCCACTTTGCCTTCTGCCATGATTTTATGTTTCCTGAGGTGTCCCTAGAAGCCAAGCATATGCCAGCACCATGTTTCCTGTAAAGCCTGCAGAACTGTGAGCGAATGAAACCTTTTTTCATTATAAATTACCCAGTCTTGAGTATTTATAGCAATGCAAGAGTGGCCCAATACATCTATATCCATGCATTCACAAGCATCTGACGCTTCTAATTCCTGAGTCTTAACCAATGTTCTTTACAAATAAACTTGGTTCTTGCCTTCATCCTCATTAGGCATTTAGCTTTCCCTAGCCTGCTAAGTCATTTACCATTTGTCTAACTGCTTTATGGCTTCCAATGGTCTTTCTTGTTTGCTGTCATTTATGGTTTCATGTCTTTTATTCATTCTTTTAGTGATATATAGTGGGATAGAGATATAGGAAGTAAAGATAAATATATACATTCATCTGTCCTTTTCAACCAGAATTCACTTGATTGTTTTTCAAACCAGGAATTCTTAAGAGTCTGGTTTCAATAAAAGCACTGTCACTTTAAGCCTTTCCTTTCACAATCACTCTTTGATTTGCATTCAGTTTATATCACCTGCTCATACTAATCGCTGGAACAGTGCTTTTCTTCAGGTATAAAGAGAAATAAAGACATTAAAAGAAAAGAAAAACCTCAGTTTTCTCTTTACCCAAGAGGCTATTAAATGAAGTCAACTGTCTTTGGATGCTTTTTAAAGATCTGATCAATATAACTCTCATCCTTGAGATATGATAATAATCAAATCATAAATTTAAAAAAAAAAAGAGATAGTGGTTCATGCCTGTAATCCCAGCACTTTGGGAGGCTGAGCCACATGGATCACTTGAGGTCAGGAGTTCAAGACCAGCCTGGCCAACGTGGCAAAACTCTGACTCTACTAAAAATACAAAAATACTTGGGAGGCTGAGGCAGGAGAATTGCTTGAACCCAGGAGGCGGAGGTTGCAGTGAGGTGAGATCGTGCCACTGCATTCCAGCCTGGGCGACAAAGTGAGACTCCATCTAAAATAAAATAGTAAAAAAAAAAGAGATTAAAAACAAAACAGAGCTAAAATGTTCACATGCACTATCACTTGAGGTCAAAGGCCAGTTGAGGAAAATACTGTAAAACTCCAGGCATATTTTAATAGCTCTGTCCTTTATATTTTAGCCTGTTATAGGCTGGCAGGTTTTCCCTACACCTACCTAACAACTATGAACAAAACATATCATTTGATCAGGTGGTAAGAACACACAAGGAACAGTCTACCTTCCTTGGCTTGCTTTTGGATTTCCCAATATGCTGGTTAACCTCACCACGCCAGATAGGTTACAGAAAAACAAGTACATATGCTACAGGACCGTGTTAACAAAAGGAAGCAAGCTGCATTTACTTCTCTTCTCCCAGATAATCCTTCAGAATACATGTGAAGACAAATGTTATCTCTACCAGCACAAGGCATCTTATATACCTTGAAGGGACTATTATATATACCAAAGAGAAATCTCAAGACTTCAGGGTCAAACTGAGGGCTTAAACACAAGTGATTATCCCTGATCCCACCCCAAATCCTGCTTAAATACAAGAAAATAGATAAACAAACACATACATCTACAAAAAGAGATACAAGTGGATGAGAAATGTCCAAGATTTTCAGAAGATACAGGCATACAGAAGAATCATAACTGACTTAGCAGCACAGAGGAAGCTGAAACCTAAGCATCTGTAAGGGGAGGTGGGAGAGATAACAGGCAAAAACAAGCTGATTTGTCCCTTTAAAACACCAGAAAGGCTCAGGAAGTGAGAGTACTGAGAATCATGAAGGTAAAGTGCAGTATGGGGTAGAAAATGAGGAAACTGGTTGAAGCTTTGTAGAGCAAGCAGTAAGACTGACAGACTCCACCCCTATTCTGGCAGCTAAATGACAATCCCTTTGCCACCCCCACAAAAGAAGGAAGGTATACTCTTTGGAAAAAAATAAACCAGTAATTTTAAATTCAGCAAAGTCATCAATCAAGTATGAAGGGAGATACTTTCACACTTATAAGTTTCAAGAAATTTCCTCCAATATACAAAGCAGGACAGGCTCCATCAAAATAAGAGAGTAAACCAAGAAAGCGGAAGACAAGGATATCAGAAAATAAAGAATCTAATTCAGGGAGACAGAGCCCAACATGAAGGGTGATGAGAAAGGGAAGCCCCAGGATGCAAGCCATCCAGCAGATCTGGAGAGCAGCGCGGACTTGGGTAGGAGGAAAAGGGGTACCTCAGGACAAAAAGTAAGGGTGGGGCTGAGTCACAGAGACTAACTGATATTTTTGATCCTGACAAAAATTATATTATTAAGAGGTTGGCTACTGTGTAGGTAAAGTTAACAAATATATAAAATAACTAGCAAATAAAAAGAGGCAATTATTAACTCCTGGAGCATGTTCTAAAAAGAAATATAATCATAGTATACTACTTAGCTCAATGATGAAAAATATCTTGTATGTTTGTACCAAGGTGTTAACTTGTGAGGAATTTAAATGTGGGCCCTATTTAAAAAGAACAGATTTACACAGATCTTTTAATTAAGTACTTATAATGAAAAAAGGAGCAGGATCTTGTTTTGCAACTCCGTAAAACTACCTTACCTGCATAAAGAAAGGAGGAGAAGGGTTAAAGAAAATGTTGTAAAATCTGAGGCCTGCTGCTTATAAAAGGAAATTTGTCCCCACCCGGAAGATTTCATGGTCATGGCTGTTTCCTGCCCAGGAACATTTTGTGTTCTCTGATGGGACAACATGAGCATTAGCAGCAACAGGAAATCAGCTCTAATTGACTCCTGAGTATCATAGCTCTACTGTTAGTGGCTCAATGTCTGTTTCCTCCTTATTCATATGTTGAAGCCCTAACCCCCAATGTGATAGAATCTGTGGTGGGGCCTCTGGGAGATAATTAGGTTTAGAGAGGTCATGAGGGTGGAGGTCCCTCAATGGGATTAGTGCCCTTCTGAGAAGAGGAAGAGACCAGAGTTCCCCTTCTGTCACCTGAGGACACAGCATGAAGATGGCCATCTGCAAGCCAAAGGAAGAGGGCCCTCACCAGACGCTCAATCTGCCAGTACCTTGATCTTAGACTCCCCAGCCTCCAGAACTGTGAGAAATAAATTCTTGTTGTTTAAGTCACACAGTCAATGGTATTCTCTGATGACAGCCTGAGCTGACTAGGACCCTCTGCCTAGGAAAAGAAGGTTGCAGAGCACCCCTGTGGATGGCACCACTCAGGCTGTTGCAAGGTTCCACGTCTGAAAATAGGCAGCTATTAGAGAAGGCCTGTCTCCTAGCCCGAGAACAACCACTGAAACTCCAGGGCCCAAAAGCATGGAATGAGACCTTGGCTAATCCTTTCGCCAGCTTTTTCTACGTCTAAAATTTTGCACTTGGTTCCTAAACAGAGGACTGTAACATTTTACTGACCTTTCAGCTATCAGCCATGGGTTGAAGGAGCCTACAGCCTCATGAGACAGGATCCGAAGGTACTGCTCAAAACGACTGCAGTAGTCACCAATGCTGTGACGCATACATGCTGGGACAAAGAGGCGAGCCCGGCCTTCTTTCTGTTGAGAATCTTCTGCAAGGGAGAGAAGGGGAGCCTCTCTTTTCTCTGATCCCTCCTCTGTTCCCACACTTTCATCCAGGGAACTGAGAACAAATAAAATGATGAAAGCATTCACAATCATCTGTAAGCACGGCTAAATAAACTGTTAATTTACCCTCATGGCTTGATAGCCAAAGGAGCATCTTGACTTCTCTTTCTCACACAAAACTCAACATCCTAACACCAAACATTGCTTCCCCTTTTCAATAAACCAACCCTTACCACTGTGGGAATACCTGTCCCTTAGACAACAGCATTCTTAAAGCAAATTGTGCAGTAAATATCAGTACAACCCACATGTACTGACGTGATGCTTTCCACATTGAAAAAACAGCTAAGTGTTACTGAATATGGAAAAGCTCCTTAAGATGCAACACACTCAACGCCCATCTTATAAACATGCTATTTACTCAGACATCTTGGTGTCCGGCAAGATCTTGCTCAAAGGAAGAATCTCTCTCTGTCTTATGGGAACTGAAGGAATTCAAAATTTAATAACATCAAAGGTAACCAACTAGAATGAAATCAGAAAGTGTCTTTGCCACTTACTTGCCATTACAGGGTCTTTCTAACATGATGTTCACGGCTGGATCCTTGCGATCCACTGTCTTCATGATTCTGATTGGATGAGGAGACAGAGGCTTTTCACCTACTGCTGAGATTTTTTGGTCTAGAAAAGGAAGGTCATAAAATGACTGCATATAAAAAATAGTTGGAGCCGGGCGCGGTGGCTCAAGCCTGTAATCCCAGCACTTTGGGAGGCCGAGGCGGGTGGATCACGAGGTCAAGAGATCGAGACCATCCTGGTCAACATGGTGAAACCCATCTCTACTAAAGATACAAAAAATTAGCTGGGCATGGCCTGTAATCCCAGCTACTCAGGAGGCTGAGGCAGGAGAATTGCCTGAACCCAGAAGGCAGAGGTTGCAGTGGGCCGAGATCGCGCCATTGCACTCCAGCCTGGATAACAAGAGCGAAACTCCATCTCAAAAAAAAAAAAAAAGAAAGAAAAGAATAGTTGGGGTCCATTTTAGAGCTGTCCTAGTGACCAAGAACCTGACAGCAAGTTACATGTACAGCTCTTAAGCACAATAGGGTTGGCTAGCAGTGCAATGGGTAAATGCTCATTTTAAATGCAAGAGAGGATTTACATGTTACAAAGAAACCAATGAGAAATACGTTTTAAGAAATAATGAACTTGCTCTGAGGAAGGTTTTTTAAGGAGGTCTATGCAAAGCCCCTGGCTACATGGCTTCCATTAGGACCCAGCCACCCACTCAAGGAGTCTTAGCAATTGGGTTTTTTAACCTTTAAATGCTTTGATTACTGAAGAAGAAGGAAAAAAAAAAAAAAAAACACTCACACCTGAACACTTAATTAGTTGATTTAATTTGTCTCTGGGCAATGCTGAAAATATCTGCATGATGATAGTCAAAACATTAATTTATTAACTATAACTTGCAGGCTTGACAGCTCTTCTGAGTTTCAGATTATTTGTAATTTTAAATGTATTTCAAGTGTAGGAAGAAAATCTGTCCTCTTAAGTAGGGAGCATCTATATGTCAAGCGACTCAGCTCACATTTATATGCTTATGATTTTTTTTTGCTGTCAGACAGAAGTACTATATAAGTCAGGTTCTACAAAACTATGACTCCAAGTGCAATCAAATTTTCAACTGTTCTCAGAGGAGATAAGAGATATAGATACTGCACAACATAAAGATCACTTTAAATTAGGTTTTGTGATGCGATTGAACAATCAGAACAAGCAGAAACAGGACTCTTCCTATGATACCATGATTCCAGAACGTGTCCAAAGCCTCATTTCAGTTCTTAGTGTCCTAGAGAGATCCTTTTAAATGCATACCTAGACTCTCGGCAGAGTCACAGATAGTGACTAATAATTTAAATCATCCTTGAAAACAGAGAACACGAAGTACTCTGCAAGACTGTCTTTTGCGTGATGCAACCCAACTTTGTGGCCAGTGGCCAAACCATCAGGAAAATGAACTGCCCTCCAACATTTACCTTTCCTCTCCTTCCACACAGAAAGATGCTAAAATGCCCACAGACTGACTAAACAATGACGAAAAGGGCCCTTGCTGTGCCAGCCCTGTTCTAGGCAGAGTAGGGAGTACACAATGACAAACTCTCTGGTCCCAAATAATCTGTAGCTCAGTTCAGAGAGATAAGACACGTTCACTAACACCTTGAACGCAAGGTAGGACATGTTGGAAAGTGTTATGGGCATTCACAGGCCAGGAAGGGAGCTGAGTTCCAGTGCAGAGACACCAGGGAAAGCACAGGCCAGTAGAATCACAGAGCCTGGCTTGAGGAACAGCTCGAGTATTACGTGAGGATGAAAATGGAGGCTGGAGGAGGACTGAGAAGAGAGAACAACAGGAGCAAAACACATAGCACTTGAAAACAGAGAACACACAAAAGGAACACATCAGTGTTTTGTTTAAATGGCTCATCTTTTGGTCAAAATACGACAGGGAGAGTACTTTTTCTAACATCAAACCTCAAAGTCCTATTTTACATAATTAAATGTGAGACAGGCTGCTGTGGTAAAACTTCTATGCCCCATTTCCTTTTGTCTTCATAAGGGTAGAATTCATGGTGCTTACATTCCTGTAGAGGTAATGTTTAACCATACTTTCTTCTCCTTTCCTTGAGTAAGGCAGGAACTGACAAGCATGAGTCAAACAGAATTTGAGTAATGCTTCCCAGCCAAAGTGGGGATAGTAACCTAGTGATTGCAGCCCAAATACATATGCATAAATTTTGAAAAGCAGAAAAGGAAAAATCTTTTCAGTAAATGGAACTAGAACAAATGGACATCCATTAGGAAAAAACAGAATTAACCCCAACCTCTACCTCAAATCACAGGCAAACTTTTATGCAAGATGCATCATAGACCTACACATAAAATTAAAACCATAAAGCCTCTGGAAGAAAACAAGAGAATCTCTTCCCCATTTCGGAGTAGGTAAAGGTTTCTTAGGTCACAGAAAGCAAACACCGCTCAAAAAAAATTGATTAAGTTAGACTTTTTCAAAATTAAAAATGTCTGCTCATAATAAAACATTTTTGGAAATAAGCAGCCGAGCCACCAATGGGAAAAAAATTTTTGAAAAACCTCTGAGTAGACTGGAGGCTGCCAGGGTGGGGAGAGAAGAATGGGGAGTGATGAAAATGTTCTAGAATTAGTTGTACAACTATGTGAACATACTAAAAATTAAAGAATTGTACAGTTTAAAAAGGTTTTAAGTATTTACATACTTAAAAAATTTAAGTATGTAAATTACCTCTTTAAAATTATTTTTAAAAAACAAAAAACCAAACAACAACATGTATCTGAAAAAGAACTTGGGCTGGGTGTGGTGGCTCATGCCTGTAATCCCAGCACTTTGGGAGGCTGAGGTGGGTGGATCATGATATTAGGAGTTCAAGACCAGCCTGGCCCAAATGGTGAAACCCCCTCCACTAAAAATATAAAAATTAGCCAGGCGTGGTGGTGGGTGCCTGTTATCCCAGCTACTTGGGAGGCTGAGGCAGGAGAATCACTTCAACCCAGGAGGCAGAGGTTGCAGTGAGCCAAGATTGCACTACTGCATTCTAGCCTGGGCAACAGAGCAAGACACAGTCTCAAAAAAAAAGGAAAATAACTTGTGCCCAGAATACATAACGAAGTTCTATGACTCAAAAAGACAAGCAACTTAAAAAAAAAAAAATTGACTGACAAAAGATTTTGGATGCTTCACAAGAGAAAATATACAAATGCCTAATAATTACTTAAAAAAAAGCTAGGCGCAGTGGCTCACGCCTGGAATCCCAGCACTTTAGGAGGCCGAGGTGGGTAGGTCACCTGAGAGCAGGAGTTTCAGACCAGCCTGGCCAACATAGCAAAACCCTGTCTCTACTAACAATAAAGAAATTAGCTGGGGCTGGTGGCGCACACCTGTAGTACCAGCTACTTGGGAGCTGAGACAAGAAGAATTGCTTGAACCCAAGAGGTGGAGGTTGTGATGAGCCAAGTTGCACCACTGCACTCCAGCCTGGACGACAGAGTAAAACTGTGTCTTAAAAAAAAAATCACTTGAAAAGGTTCTAAATATCATCATTCACCTTCACCAGGATGCTTACTTGAAAAAGACTGAAGACACCAAATGATGGCAAGGATGCTGGAAACAGGAGCAAGGCCACTTTGGAGTAGAGTTGTCAATCTTTTATAAAGTTAAACACAAACTAATCTTAAGATCTGGCAAGTTTACTCTTAGGTATTCATCCAAGAGAAAAACTTAACACACACACAAAGGTTATACACATGTACACATTCATAGCAGATTTATTCCTAATAGCCCAAAATTTAGGAGCTGAAAGAAACAAGGAATAGATTCTTCCCTGGAGCCTCTAGTGTGAACATGCCAACACCCTGATTTCAATCCTTTGAGACTCTCTTCAGATTACTGACACCCCAGAACTACAGGAGCATAAATTTGTGCTTTAAGCCATTAAATATGTAGCTTAAGCTTGTTACAAACTTAAATTTGTTAATAACAGCAACAGGAAATAAACAACATATATAAACCTATAAAACACTATGGTGAATGAAAGAAGTCTAAGCAAAAGAGTACATACAGTATGACTACATTTAAATGAAACTCTAGACAATCAAAGCTAACTAAGAAAGCACAACAGCTGTCTATGTGGTGGGGGGCGGGGCATAAGGGAACTTCTCCAAGGTGATAAGTTCTATATCTTGAGAGGGGTTTGCATAACAGACATGTAACCAGTTGTCAAAAACCAGCAAACGGTACAGTTAGAATCTGTGCATTTTATCATTGTAAATTTTATCTCAGAAAAAAAGCCATAAGTAAATATTAAACTCCAGTTGATAATAGGTATGCTGAATATGCAGGGGTAAAATGTGCTGATATCTACAACTTTGAAATGAGAAGATAAGAAGAATTGGTGGATGGATAGAGGGATAAACAGATATGTAACAAAGCAAAGAGTGTGAAATGTTAACTGTAGAATCTAGAAGGGGAGTATACAAGTGTTTGTTATATAATTTTTTCTATTTTCTGTATGTTTGACATTTTTCAGAATAAAATGTTAGGGGAAGCCTGGGGGAAACACTCACCATTGTTTTCTTCCTGCATCCAAAGGTGAGGATCAGCATATACAATTTTATGATATCTCTGACGAACTGACTCCTGGTATTTCTTTTTTTAAAAAAAAGTTTAGGAGAAAAAAATAAGTTTCATTACAAAGCAGAACTAGTAAAGATATAAAAGTTCAGCAGACACAACTGATACAAACATACTGTCAGAAATGGGCATCTGTCAGGCCAGGAAGTAATTAGTTCATGAGAAAAGGTCTAAAATAAAATAAAGCAATGAACATAAATGCAATCTAGACCAGCACTGTCCACTAGAAGCTGCTGCAGTGAAGGAAATGTTCTATATGTGCCCTGTACAGTACAGCAGCCAGTAACTATTGTGTTTAATTTTAATTAATTAATTTACATTTTAATAAGTGCCTGTGGCTAGAGGCTACTGTTTTGGACATCCCAGGCCTAGATAACTATCACCAAGGGGAAATTTCAAGACTGGGGTAAATTGCATACCTTTAAACTTTCAAAAAAAATTGTTTTCCCTATAATGTTTCTATTTATCAGCAAAGCAGAAATTAGAGTTAATCATGGTACAGTTAAAAAGAAAATGCTGAATTGAGAGTCAGGAGACCTAGATTCCTATTTTGGCTCTGCCAGGATTTTTTTGTGACCTTGGTCATGTCACTCACTTCCTTATTATACCTCAATTTCCTGCACTGAACAATCCATGGGTTAGGCTGTGTGAAGCAGCATCAGGGAAACTGAAGAAGATAAAATTGTCTATGATTTGATAGGATCACACTCTAACAGGGAAGAGGAGGTAAACTAAATAGTACTTACAGGCTGACAGATGCAAAAGCCTATGATCCCATTTGTGGGCCCAGGCCCTGGTCTCAGTGTTTTTGGAATTACACATCAGTGATAGCAAGAGTAATAATGGTCACTTACTAGATTAGATGGCAAGTAGTGTGCTGAACACTTTCTGCCTCATTTTATCCTTAAACTCCCTACTTGTCAGAGGGGCTGTCTATACCAAGGTCATGCACTTAGTTGGCAATAGAGCAGGGATTTAAAACGGGACTGTGTGACTGATGTCTGAAGCTGCAGAGACCAGCCCATAGTGGTGAGCAAGACCCGGAGCCCCAGACCTTACTTCCATTTCTTCCATTCGGCGCATCATGATCTCCAGCTCTAGACTATCTTTGCTGTCCTCAATGGTGGCTAAGGTTTCAGACCCCAAGATTTTAGCATGAATCATAGCCCAGAGCTCATGGGCAGAATCTTCCAAAAAATCATCAAGCTTATGAATGTTGTTGGATTCAGAATCAACAGCTGTAACCTACAAGATGGGGGGAGAGGGGAGGCATGGGGTGGATTAGGGGTGGGAAGGCGATGTAATGAAAACAGAAACATTTAAAAATTATTGCTAATCATAAAAAAACCAACAACATATAGATTCAAATGGCAGAGTTTCTATGCTAAAACAAAATTCTAAGTCAGTATCAAAAGCAATAACATCAAAACAATTTTTATCACAGTCATTTAAATGATGGCATTAACCAAGTAATACCATTATCGTCCACTAAATTATCATTATCATCTGTTCTGCCAGTTGGTGGAACAAATATCCTCCTTTTGCTGCATTCAGGAGAATCTCCAATAGTTTACGAGTCACACATTTCAGAGGATGTAACTATTCTCTTTTGGTGCAGTGCTTCTGTGAAAACGTCTGTTCATACGACATCACAAAGTTCAGGATTCTTTGTCTTTGAAACTCTGTACCTATAATCCACTTTCCAGTTTCCAAAAAAGCACTTTCCAGTTTCCAAAGCAATTTTACATGCATTGTATTTCTGTTGATTTGAATACATGTTTATAATCTGCCCTGAAAGAGGCTTTTGCAAAGAATGTTTGCTGTGGAAATTAATTGTATCAGGCAACAGAATGAAATATTTCTAGAATTAAATTCTGGTTCTCCCACTCATAAGCTGGAAACTTTGGGCAAGTTTATTTGACCTCTCTGGGCCTCATTCCTCTTATCTGTAATATGGAAATACTCTTGCTGTAGGGATTTTGTAAGAGCTTGCATGTTGAGACACTTAGCATAGTGCTTGGCATGAAATAAGACACTCAATGAATGGTTGCAGCTATGGCAATTTAAGAAAGCTTTAATGATTCACAGAAGAAAATATATTAATGAATGGCCAACAAAGGTAATAAAAAATGTCCAACCTTAATCAAAGTTAAAGAAATAAAAATTAAACTGAATAACCAGTATAATAAAATTACAAAAAATCTAGAGACAACCAATAATGCCTGCATGCATATATTTTCCATCTATAAAGAATAGAACACCAAAAATACTATGTGCCATTATAAAAGATAAGGAAGGTCTCAATGCAATGATATAGAAAGAGCACAAAACTATATTATAAATAAAGAAGCAGAGTATAGAACAGCAGATGGCACCTGCTTATGGGGAGGTGTAACTTTTCATATACTTCTTCTGAATTATTTAAATTTTTAGCCATGTGCATGTATAACTTTTAATTCTAAAAGAACTCACACATTTTAGAAAAATATATTTAATGTGCATGTTTAGTTAATGACAACAGTAGCAGCAATAGACAGACATGTTATAATGGTACCTTTACAAGAGCTTTTTCCTGATCTCAGAGATAATCTTGTCTATAAGTAAATCTACAGAGAGCTGCATTTTACTTGCCAATGTCTCCTCCATTTTAAAGATGAGAATACTGAGAGAATCTGTGTTCAAGGCCTCCCAGCTCTTTTATAAGTTAACATAGTAAAAACGATTTTCTATTTCACGCCAACTTTTATGTGTTTGTCTGCTTTTGTTTGTTTTCATTCAGTTCTTTGTAAACATTGACTCCTGATGGTGCTTCCTGAAATACTCTGCAATGATGTTGCTATTTGACAACAGCCCAGAATTCTAAAAACTACATAGAGTTACTTTTCTGTTTCAAAGAATTGTGTTAAACATCAGGTAATGCCTACAAAATAATTCTAATCTATAAGGCTGATGATTCCTAGTACACTCAAACATGTCTATTTCACTGCCAGCATTCATCATCACTTCATTTTCCTTTCATATTATAGTGCAGGATGGAGTTGCCTCTCTAGGTTAAAGGTTAGCCTCATTATTCCTCTAGAAAAAAAAAAAAATATATATATATATATCTCATTTAGTGGCTAAGCTGCAAAAAACACAAAGCCATAACACACCAGAATTTGCAATGGCCAAATGCAGGCTTTTAGCTTTCAGTCTTGTAAGTCTCACTTCACATCAGATTATGTCATAAAACTTTGGTACAATAAAGTTATAATCACAGAAATTATGAAAATATGTCACAGCTGAAATACTGTTTTTAATAATCAGAATAGGGATACATTCTTGAAATCTACCTTCTTCCTGCCCCTAAGGTCATTGGGGTTGATGGAACTTTATTCCAATTTCCTTCTGCTCTGAAGCCGAGGAAGGAAGTTGGAATGAAGCTTCCTCTCCTTGCTCTGGGCAATTAAAGAAATAAACGTCTCTCCAAGCTCCAGAAAGATTAAATGGATGCAACTTGCACCTTCCGCTCCGCAGCTCTAAGCCTAGGCAAGGTAGAAACATTTCCACAAATATTAAAAACAAGTCCTCCAGTGGAAGCATACAGAGTGGACAACAATAAAACATGTTTTGATTTTTCTCAAATTTTCTCATTTTTTTCCTGGGTCACCTTTTTCTCTCTGCTAAACCAGATACTGGTCACATATTAGGCACCCAAAACATGCTTGCCTAACAGTAAATATTAGGCCCCAATTATAAAGAAAATTAGGACAGTAATGACTGAAACTAGGCTGAATGAAAGGAAATGAGGGCAGCTATTCTGCCACAAGCCATCAACATTCAGGGCCACACAGGGCACCTACACTCTGTTATCCAGAGGAGGGACAAAGAGCCACTAACAAAAACCTGTGGTTGTAAGATTTTTGTACGCTGTTTGCAAGGCTGACCTAAGTCATAATACTAAATATACACTGAAAGAATTAGCATGCCAAATGTGGAAAATAATATTCATACTTATTCAGTAGGATAATCTAGTGTTTGCAAAGCACTCTGTATATCATTTTTGTTACAACCGAAGACATCATCAAGCAATAACACCAGAATGCCAACACCACACCACACATACCTCCTGCGCAGGCTGGGCTTTCCTGTTTACTGACGAACCATCCTTCAAGTGAGTATTTGCTACTGTAGCAGAATTGACTCTCTAGTAAAACAGACAAATACATTCATGGAGTATAAAAACTTACAGCTCCTATTAGTACAAATAAATTCTACTACCAGAATAGCTTGTGTGGAACTATTCATCAGCTTTAGCTACATGAGGCTTCTGCAGCAATTCAAAGCACTTTGTCTTCATGGAAATAAATGCCATGTGTTGATCTTGGCTTTTCAGCCTTTTTCTTCCCTCAACTCTGTAAACATTGTTAGAATAGCTGCATGCTTTTATGCAAGTCATTCAACATCTCTGTTCCAGTTTCCTCAATGATAAAATGAGAAAGTTGAACTACTTGATTTATTTTTTTTTCTCAGCCACTCTACAGCTCAAGACTACTTGATTTCTAAGAGTCTTCCTAGTTCTATACTACTGACATCTCCATGGACTCTAATAAAAATGTAACATTTTTTTAACTAAAAAATAGAGAAGTTCAGGGGCCTGTTTAGGGAACCCCAAATGTCATTTATTTCATTTAAACGTATAATATTCTTCTGTGGCCTCATCTACACACAAGATTGTTTCTATTTACAGGGTGGATCAACAGGGTCTGGCTACAGCATTGAGCTTACTGCTTATGGGAAGATGGCACAACCTCTTGGTAATACCATCCTCGAGAAAGTACTGGATTGTTCACAGAAGCCATTGTAACATCTCCCTCCTTTGGAAAAATAAAGCCCATCATTCCAAACCACTGAGGTGAAAAAACACAGTGTTTGAGTGAAAGCTGTTAATGGAACACTAACTTCGCCAAAAGATCTATTTCATTAGGAACAAGGATTACAATATCGACTTGCTTCCCAAACTGAAATCTCAACTTTCTCAATGTAGGACTTTCCCCTTGTCCCTTTATCTCTATCCCTTCTCCATGACGGAGGGCACGTCAGTAGTGTGTGGTGGTCTGGGGATATCTTCCAGCTGCCACAGAGACACTTGGTCCTATAAAGGATCAGTGAGACCTCTGTAGCAAGTCTTTTTAAATCTAGAACTTCCAAAAAGCAAGGAAATGAAATGAACTAGATTACCTGGGCCTTGACCAGGAGAGGCTTCAAACGATCCAGAACTGCCTCTTCTACCTTGTCTGCTAACTGGGTGGCAGAAACACTATTTAGAAATAAAATTGAAAATTAAAATCAAAGGCAAAAAAATATCCTATTTTGCATATTTATTTACCACTCCAGGTGAAGGGAAATAGGATGATTATAAAAACCACGGGCTTCTCTAACCCTTAGTGGCCATACCAATTATCCCGGGGATCTTATGAAAATGTAGATTCCAATTCACTTGGTCTGAGTAAGGCCTGAGAGTCTGCATTTCCAACAAGCTCCTAGGTGATGTGGCAGAGCCGGCCTTGGGCCTTACTTTATGCACAAGGATTTAGGTAACATCTGAAGTGTTAGGCACTGAGTACCCCTTAAAATCATAATGTTTGTCATTAACAGCTAAAGAGGATAGTAAACTGAACAAAAGAAACTAATTTTATTCCCTCTTCAAATCCCACTGAAACAAGGGGAGCTAGCTTTACACCCACAAAAACAAGGAAGAAAAAAAGGCATTGGAAAACAAAGGACAAAATGATAACTAACTTAGCTGATATGAGGAAGTTGACTTCTAAGACCAGTAATGGGAAAAACTAGAACCCACACACTTTTTACTGCTGACTTAACCAGGCACACAACTGGTAGTACCAGGTACATCTAAGCCTGGGCTAAGCTGGGAGGGGCTGGTGTAAAAATTGACAAGAGCCAAATGATGTTTGAGAAATTAAGACTCCTAGGTCCCTTTCCCTGCTTCACACAACTACACAGCTGCCTCTTTCTAACTCTAAGAGAAGTCTGATTGCTCATTCTCTGTGTGAGGGTCTTTTGACTAGGGGCAGCCAATCACAGCTGAGGCTGTAGGTACCATACTGAAAAGAGGTGGGGGTCAGGTATGCATGCTGAATGCTGTGTCGTTAGACTCACAGTCCTCTTCCCAACTCAGCTCCTAGGATAGCAACATCCTGATCCATATTCTCTGGGCCAAAGATCAGAAAGCTTTTCTGGGCAGTCTGACCCAGGCCAAAGGAAAGACCTAAAGACAAACCTAAGTGTTCTTAACAAATGGTCCAGATGTTACTTTCATCAGATGGTGTTGGAATAGCTAGGTATCCATGAAAGAAAATGAATTTTGATCAGTATTTCATCTCATACACAAAAAATTAATTCTAAATGGATCACAGAGATGAGAATAAATGCTAAAACTATAAAGCACTTAAAAGAAAACAGAAAATCCTTGAGACCCTAACATAGGCAATGATTTCTTAGTTCCCAAAAAATTATTAACCAGAGAAGAAAAATTGATAAACTGGTCTTAATCAGGATTTAAAACTTTCAATTATCAAAAGACACCATTACGAAGACATATGGGCGAGCCATAGTCCTGAGAGAAAGTATCTGCTGCAGACATATCTGGCAAGAGGCTTATGTCCAGAAAATACGAAGAACTCAAATCAATACTTACAAAAAATTTTAATGGGTAAAAGACTTGAACAGACACTTCACAATAAGCACTAGAAAAGGTGCCCAACATCATTCGTCTTCAAGGAAACACAAATTAAAACCACATGGAGACACTACCACATTCTCACCAGAATTACTAAGAGACTGACAAGATCAATTGTTAGCAAGAATGTAAAACAACTAGAAATGAACTCTCATGTACTGCTGATGGCAGTATAAAATGTTACTACTGGCCGGACATGGTAGCTCCTGCCTGTAATCCCAGCACTTTGGGAGGCGAGAATGGCAGATCATGAGGTCAGGAGATTGAGACCATCCTGGCTAACACAGTGAAACCCCATCTCTACTAAAAATACAAAAAGTTAGCCAGGTGTGGTGGTGCATGCCTGTAGTCCCAGCTACTCCGGAGGCTGAGGCAGGAGAATCCCATGAACCCAGGAGGCGGAGGTTGCAGTGAGGTAAGATTGCGCCACTGCAGTCCAGCCTGGGCGACAGAGTGAGACTCCATCTCAAAAAAAAAAAAAAAAATGTAACCACTCTTGAAAATGTGTATGGCTGGTTTAATAAAATTAAACAACTACAACTGCCAATCTATTACCCAGATATTATACTCCTAGGTATTTACCCAAGAGAAATGAAATCATATTTCTACAAAAAAGCCTTGTGCAAGAATGTCTGTAGCAACTTTATTCATACTTAACTATATGGGAAGACCCAAATGTCAATTACAAGAGTATGAAAAGGCAAACTGTGGCATAGTCACACAATGGAATACTATTCTGCACTAAAATGGATGAACTATACTGATACACATACAATGTGGATGAATCTCAAATATTTCTTGAGCAAAAAAAGCCAGATGCAATGGAGCAGATCTTGATAATTCTATTCATATAAAGTCTGAACAGGCAAAGCTACTTATAGCAAAAGAAATCAAAGTAGCTGCCTCTGTGAGGGATGGTGGCGTGGGGGTGGGGGTGGAGTAGAGAACGACCAAAAAGGACATGTGGGAACTTTCTAGGTTGAAGAACAAATTATTTATCTTGATTAGGGTTTTGGTTACCCAGATATATACACTTGTCAAAATTCATTGAACTGTACCTTTAAGTTCTTTGCATTTTACTATATATAAATTATACCACAATAGAAACAATTTTTTAAAAAACTAAAATACTAATTCCAACCCATATACACTGAGGTTTTGATCAGTAATCAGTCCTACATTTAAACATGAGAAGATAGCCAAGATTACTAGATATCTAAGGAAGGAAAGAAAAAGATTATGTTGGTCAAAAGCCAGGTGAAACATGTTAGCTTACTCAAAATAGCACTGTATCTGTGAAACAAGGACAGGAGACTACTGAGTAAGAGATATTTGGAGAATATAATAGAGCTCTCAACATTTTTAATTTTTAAATTTTAAATACTGCAGCAAAAATGATAAACTCAGTGGGTTAAATATTAAAGATGGAGGAAATCTCCTATTGGGGCAGGGTAGGGGTGGAGGTAGAAGAGAGGAAAGACAGGGAAAGAGAGAAAGAAAATAGGAAAAAACAGATAAGAAAATCAGAGGACCAATCAACAAAGTCCAACAGCAAAGAACAGGAACTTCAGAAAGAGAGAATAGAGAAAACAGAGGCAGAAAAAAAAAAGAAAAGAAAACTCAGAACTAAAGGAAATCAACTGCCTGATTGAGAAGGTCTACTGATGAATGAAAATACACCCATAGTAAGTCCTGCCATTATGACTTTGAGCTACCCTGAGGAGAAATCAGCGTCTGTAAGCCTCTAGAGAAGATAAAAAGCAATTTTGATTTCTTATTGGAAACGCGCAGATTTTTGCTTCTGAAGAGGTTGAAAAAATGTACTTTCCCCTATTCTTCCTGTTAATTACAACTAAGAATCCTGGACATTAAATATACGCACTCATGAGAGGACTTGGAAAGGAGTAGAGAAGGCACGCCAGCTAGGAACTCTGGGACCAAAAGAATGACAGGGCAGCGAGTTCTCCGGGATTTCTCTTTGCCTCATATACCCCAGAGTAGGTACTAGAGAAGCCAGCAACCCGGAAACATCAACACACACAGGCAAAAAGAAGTCTCAGCCGGGCGCGGTGGCTCAAGCCTGTAATCCCAGCACTTCGGGAGGCCAAGGCGGGTGGATCACAAGGTCAACACATCGAGATCATCCTGATCAACATGGTGAAACTGTCTCTACTAAAAATTACAAAAAATTAGCTGGGCACGGTGGCGCGTGCCTGTAATCCCAGCTACTCAGGAGGCTGAGGCAGGAGAATTGCCTGAACCCAGGAGGCGGAGGTTGCAGTGAGCCGAGATCGCGCCATTGCACTCCAGCCTGGGTAACAAGAGTGAAACTCCGTCTCAAAAAAAAAAAAAAAAAAAAAAAAAAAAAGTCTCCAGGGCAAATAAAGTCTGCTCTCTCTAGCAACAGGACCAAGAATGGGGCAGCCTAGAAAGACGGAAAACAGTAAATAACTGCCCTACTGCAGCCAAACACAGCAGAAAAACCCACGGCCGCATGCCACAAACAAGTACACGAAAAGACGTTCAGATGCCATGATACACCCATCAGAACGCCTGAAAGAAAGCACAGTGACACCACCACGTGCTGGCAAAAATGCAGAACAACTGGATCCCTCAAACACTGCTGGTGGGAACAGACAGAGCCACTCTGGCAAATGGTATCGCAATTTGGAACTAAACGAAACAAAACATACAACTAGCATACAACCTAGCAACTGCCCTCTGGGCATTTATCCCAGAAAAAAGGGAAAACTTATGTTCGCACAGATACTTGTACACACAACTGTTTATAGAAACTGGATTCATTATAGCCCCAAACTATAAACAACTCAGATGTTCTTTTTCTTTTTTTTTTTTTGAGACAGGGTCTTGCTCTGTTGCCCAGGCTGGAGTGCAGTGGCCTGATCATGGCTCACTGCAGCCTCGACTTCACAGGCTCAAAGGATTCTCCCACTTCAGCCTATTGAATAGCTGAGACCACTGGCTCAGATGTTCTCGAAGAGGAAAATGGTTAAACTATGGTTTGTTTGCATCCATGCCATGGAATACTACTCAGCAACAAAAAGGGATGAACTACTGATGCATGTGATTAGCTCAATAAAATTTCCAGAGAATGATATAAAGAAAAGAAATTCCAAAAAGTTATATACTATGTAATTCCGCATACAGTAAGATTCTTGAAATAACAAAATTATAGACAGGGAGAGCAGATGAGTGGTTGCCAGGAGTCATTTAGCTAAGCAGTGAATGGGGCAGGAGGGAAGAGGGTGTGGCTACAAAAGGGCAGCATGAAGGATCCTCTCAGGGTGGGAATGTTCTATATTTTGACTATACCAATGTTAATATCCTGGTTGTAGTACTGTACTGTAGTTTCCCAAGAGGCTACCATTTGGGGAAATTGAGTTTTTGTGTGACTCTATAATTACCTCACAATAAGAAGTTAAATTTAAAATTTTCCAATAAAAATAATCTTCTACACCCAGTAAGGCTACCAGCAAATATGAGATTAGTAAGGTTTATCAGCAAATAAAGACATTTTCAGACTTGAAAGGTGTTAAAGAATTTACTTCCCATTCATCCTTTTTCAAGAAGCTAAATTAAATAGGGTACAGCGGCCCATGCCTAATCCCAGCATTCTGGGAGGCCAAGGTGGGAGGATCACTTGAGCCCAGGAGTTCAAGACTAGCCTGGGCAACATAGTGAGACCCTGTTCCTAATTAAAAAAAAAAAAAAGCAGCTAAATTAGCATGTGTTCCATCAAAACAAGCAAGCAAACTGAAGAAGATTACAACACAATATGGGAAATGGGAGATCCAAGCCTAGATTCCTGGCTTGTCTTGCCCTTTTGCTGATGGAAGTTTCTGCTCTTCCCTCTATGATCTGCTGTCTGCTAAGGATGTTCATCTCATCCTCACCAGAAAGATCTAAGAAGCAGTGTGTTACAAGACAGCCCCTCTCCTGACCAGGCTTCTTCCCGAAGTCCAGTGAACCTGGCTCACCTACAGCCCCTCCAGATGGAGGATTCCCTATGTGTGCCAGGACTCACTCGTGACCCTGCTCAGTGACCTCCTGAGCAGGGCACCTACAAACTCTCATGAAAGCACAAGTCAGATTGGGATCCAGACTCTATTCAACCTGTCTTCCCCTAGGAGTCTTCAGATGATACCACCATCAACAATGCCTTTGCCAATTTCAGCTAGATTTGTGCCTGTTTCTCAGTGTTCAAAATTAAACATGATAATGTTGGGGATACACACATAGACAACAGGTTTATGAAGAAGAGTAATGAAAAGATTAACACAAGAATCAGGACAGTGGCTGCCTCTGGGGGGAAAGGGATGCAATCGAGGAAGGACACACTGGAAACTTCTGTATTAGTGGCAATGGCTGATTTCGTGGCTTATGATGGTGTTATGTGTAGGTTCATTCTGTAATATTTTGGATTGTACATGTGCATTTAGTATGTTCTTCTATATGTATGATATGTTTAATTTTTGAAGTAAAAACACACAGAGAAATAAATGGGGCACAGAGGATTAAGCTTTTGCTATATGGCCCAAAGAACAAGTGGGTAAGAGTCACAGAGAATCAAATTTCAACACAGCCTAAGGTCACACCTTCTTAGCTATAAATGACCATGAGATGGATTCCCTCAGACAGTATGATTATCCCATCACAAAGGGTGTGTAAATATACTGGACAGTTCCTTGATGGAGACAGCAGAGAGGAGCCAAAAGCATCAGTTGGGGGAAAAAGATCCTTCAAATCCCAAGATTCTGAAATTGTATGACTTGACAAAAGTCTCGGCCCTCTAATGATACACCTACAGCCCTTCTAACCTGAGATGAACAATCCATGATGAATGGTGACAGAATGCACAGATGTCTCAATAAGTGTTCTATTAATGTGACTACAGAGTAAATTATTATCAGAGTTGGAAAAATGAGGCAATAGCAGCAGCAGCTAAACTAAATCTTTTAACAAGCTTCTTTATGCCTACAGTGCCCATAGCTTTGAAAACACTTAGGGAGTGAATAAAGGGAACCGCATTTGAAAACTATAGCCTGCATTCAGACTAACATGGGACGCGAAAGTAGCTATATGTTGACTTGTATGAGCAGCACATGTATGTGCGTCATTCTGATCTGAGAAGGACTGATATCTGGCTAGAGAAAATTACTTTTGAGGGTAGTCTAAACAAATCAACATAAGACTCTGATCTTTCAAACAGAACTCCAAAATTACAGATTTTGTTCAGTCCTCCTTCAAACTCCACACAAAAGAAACATTTCCTAGCAAAAAGTATGGTATAATATACAGATAGACATGCAGGTATTCATTCATTCATGTAATGAAGTTAGGTCTTAACAGTCCAGGTTGGTTGTTAGGACTATCCAGATCAATTAGAACAGGTAAGCATCCATTATTCTTCCTAAGAAGCAAATACATACCTCAATTTTTGGAGTCTATCCATTTCTTCAGCTTTGAGAGCACTGAGTTCCTTTGCTCTTCTAGAAGTTTCAGCATCAAGCCAGTCAAGCCTAGAGAACAGTATCAAGAATCACCCCAACTCTCCTCAAAGCAGAGTCAGGACTCCCTTGAGCTCCAGGCTTGGCTCCCTGTAGGCTTCTTAGGTGACTTCACAGTCTTTTAAGGAGGCAAAAAGCCAATAAACATAAGAAGGGTAGCTAGACCTTAACAACCTCTATTTATTGCTAATGTATAGAGATGTAGAACAGGCCTGCTTACCTCTTCCTACCTCAGGAACAAATACTCACCTCTGTTTTTGCATGTTGTCAATTTCTTTGGCTTTTAATTCTTCTAGTTCCCTCAATCTTTTGGAAGTTTCAGCATCAAGCCAAGCGAGCCTAGCAGACAGTCAGAAGAGACAAACCAATTCTTCCTCAACACAGCAGGGTGTCATTATCACAGAAACAGACCAGAAGTCAGGACCCCCCGCAGAGCACCAATCCTGGCTCTATTAAGGTACTCAGTAGGTGACATAACCTCTCAGTACCTGTAAAGCTCTCTGGAACGTGTTCCATGTGAAAACACTTTTATGCACAAAAGGACTCTGAGTGAGTGTACAGCACAGTAAGAACCTGTCTCAAAGGTTTGCAAGAAAACTAGCTATCACTTGTACTTTGGGTTTCTTACCAGACTCAAACAAAACCCTTTCTGTATCTTCAAGTTTAGACTAAACAATGAACCCCCAGGAGCCATATAGGCACAGTGAAGTCAGATAAAAACAAAAGGGAAAAGTTAACTGTGGACAACTCTGTTGTATGTAAAAATGCCTTGATTCTTTTGGTTTAGAATACATGAATATTGTCAAATTATTTAATGGGCCGCTTTCATTTTTGCTTTCCCATAATTGCAAGAATAATTTCAGGCAAACTAATGTAGAGAAAGCTGTTTTCACTACCCTCTTCCTATGGAAGGTACTCAGTAGGTGACATAACCTCTCAGTACCTGTAAAGCTCTCTGGAACGTGTTCCATGTGAAAACACTTTTATGCACAAAAGGACTCTGAGTTAGTGTACAGCACAGTAAGAACCTGTCTCAAAGGTTTTCAAGAAAACTAGCTATCACTTGTACTTTGGGTTTGAAATCCTGCCTGTTCTTCAGGTCCTAGTTTAATTTCCATCTCAATCCATGAAGCCTAGACCTCTGCAGCAAGAAATAACTTTCTACCCTTTCTAAACTCTCTCAGTTCCTAGGTTACACACCTCGTTCTATCTTAAATTATAGCCAATTACGTATCTTCTCTATTGACTGTAAATAAGCAAGGGCTGGGATTATGGCCTATTTGCCCTTTTTAAAGTCTCCATAGAGCTCATAACAGTGTCATATACAAAACTAGCAACTGATATGTAATGACACACATATAATTTATGAATGAATGACATAAGAAAAAATAGAGGAGCTCACTGCAAGCTATACAGTTTGACAGAAAAGTTTAATAAGCTACAGTTTATTTTTTTAATAGCCTACATTTTAAATAACCAACTTTATACACAGAAAAGAGAAGAAAGGGTTGACTTCCAAGTCTATGTAAAAGGAGCTCTTTAACTCTCAAAGATCTGAAAAATACCAGCACAAACCTGACTGCCTCATGCTCAACAGCACCTGTCAAGTGATTTTCCTCTTGAGTATCTTCTTGCTGGAGAGACTCTTTTGTGGCATCTCTGGGGCTAGATTTCACCTCTAGCCATGCAGCACTGCAAAAAATGGAAAAGCACCTTTGTCATCATTCACTCCGTGTCCAGTGACTCATCCAAGTAGGTGCCAGCTCAGAGAAGACGACAGCATTAAATTAATGGTGATGTATAGCATGGGGTCCTAAAGTAGAAGCTGCATGTGAAGAAGAGTGAGATCCTCCAGCACTCAGGCTCAGTGTCAAAGGGGAGAAATTCTCCTTTGCTTCAAAGAAGCCATCAGGATTTTAAATGAGAAATAGTGATCAATTACAGAACACTGGGTGAATGTCAATAAAACTGTTAAAATATATAGATTTGGATCACTAATTACATTCCATAGTATAAGAAAATTCTGTGTTTTTACAAGGCCTAACAGCACTGTGAGCCTAGAAGTCCCACCCACCGTCCTCTGCCAACCAGACATGCACTCTAAGACAGTCCACTGTATATTTGGCTTGCAATACAAACTTCAATTGAGCTTACCAATTGAAGGTACATCTCCATATTAATACTTGGATACGAAAATACAGAAAACAGAGTACAGTAATAAAAACAAAAAAAGCACATTATGAAATCAGAAGACCTGATTTGAGGTCTGGCTGTTAGATGAATAAGACATTAAATTCTCTAAACATTGTTTCTTTAACTTTAAAATGAGAATGGATGGATGAGCACAGCCATTCCTCCACATTCATTTGGAATCTTAGGGGCTTCTCTTCCACCAGGCTGCTCACCCTGACTTCTGATGGCTCCCAAAGACAGAACCCTCCAGTCACCTATCTTCTCCCTTGTTCTCCCCAATATTACTGCTTTTTACTTCTTTCTTTTTTCTGTTCCACCTCCTGGTCCTTTCCATTGTGTTTTCAAGAACTACTGTCTCATGGCAAATAAGCTCCCCTTTATCTTCAACCAATTCCCCCAAAGATTATTTCCACCTAACTGGACGCTGCTCCTCTTCTCTCTAGCCCTGTGAAATGACAGCTTCTCATTCTCCATGTGCTATGAATGAGGATGACATGACAGTAATGTCAACATTATCCTAACTGCTCCCCACAGCTACGACAATGTTGGTGATATCTACATGGTTTTACAGTTCACAATTGTCTTGATATAGAGTTAGAATTATTTTAAAATATTTATTTACTCAGCAAAGATTTACTGAATGCCTACTATCCACCTAGCACTGGGCATTCAAATATAAAAAAGAAAGTCCCTGGCCTCAAGTTTCTCAAATCAATTGGCAGAAGAGACAAGTGAAGTGAAGCCCATCGTCTTCCACACATGTCCCAGGTGTTGGAGTGGGCCATGGAAAAGCTGTTCCAACCATAGTCAGGAAGAAGAAGGAACCACCAAGCTTCTGGACAAAGACTTCTCACATATGACTCACCCAAAAAAGCACTTCCTCTTAATGGAAAAAATTAAGGCTACTACTTCATTTGCTCCTTATGAGCTATAGGTCACCTTTGACACGTGGAGGAAAACAGAATCACATAAACAAACAGTCCCTTGAGTTTTCACATACCATTTAGGAGATGCTGGTGGGGATGTAGGGTTTGGGGGTATCCATGGTGCCTTGTGGTTTTTCACAGGCTGTCGGTTCATTTTTAATCTGGATGAAACTGTTGTCTGCTGCACTCTGCTTTTAGTATGAGGTTGGCTTTGTCTACTTCTCTCAGCTTTGTGAAGTCCCTGTGAGAGTAAGTAAGAATTACAAAGCCAAACAAATATCAAAGAAACTATGGTTTCAACCGCTGACTCACTGAAGCTCCAAGTTCTCTATGTTATTCACGCGTCCACTCAGTAAAACCTGAGTAGAAAGCACTGTGGTAGAAATTTGGAGGAGGGTGTAAATTACATTGAAACAACCATGGTAGGGGGTGGGAGTGGAGTGTATAGGATTGGAATCCCTGCCTCTGCCTGACACCTTTAAACATATAAACTATATATAAAATATATTTTTATTTATTTACAACTTTTTTCCTAATTAAACGACAACAACAACAACAACAACAAAAAAAAAAAACCTCATTCCATATTGTTAAATTATTTTTCTATTTTCTTTTCTTTTCGAGATAGAGTTTCGCTCTTGTTACCCAGGCTGGAGTGCAATGGCGCAATCTCGGCTCGGCGCAATCTCGGCTCACCGCAACCTCCGCCTCCTGGGTTCAAGCAATTCTCCCACCTCAGCCTTCTGAGTAGCTGGGATTACAGGCACACGCCACCATGCCCAGCTAATTTTTTGTAGTAGAAACAGGGTTTCACCATGTTGACCAGGATGGTCTCGATCTCTTGACCTCGTGATCCACCCACCTCGGCCTCCCAAAGTGCTGGGATTACAGGCTTGAGCCACCGTGCCTGGCCTTCTTTTTTTTTTTTTAGAGACAGAGTCTCGCTCTGTTGTCGACACTGGAGTGCAGTGGCATGATCACAACTGACTGCAGCCTCAAACTCCTGGGCTCAAGCGATTCTCCTGCCTTAGTCTCCTGAGTAGCTAGGATCACAGGTGTGTGATATCATGCCTAATTTTTTATTTTGTGTAGAGCCAGGGTCTCATTGTGTTGCCCAAGCTGGTCTTGAACTCTTGGGCTCAAGTAATATGTAAAACATTCTTAGTTAAAACACTTAACCTCTCTGAACCTTAGGTCTAAATAGAATGAATCTAACTATTTAAAAAATGCTATAGAGAATACTGCTCTGTCTCTGGAGAAGAGCACCCAAATGACCTCCGCCCCACAATACCCATAAAAGTTTGGGAAGAAATGGACTTGATCCTAATCCATTATTCGTTAATAACCTGTGGTAACTGCTATCTCTCTTTATTTGGAGGCCACCTGAAAATAAACAGATTTGCTACAGAAGCCTTGGGCAAGACCACCAAATGTCACTAATACAATAAAGGTGTTCAATTAGGAGGTGGTTTTTCGGCCAGTTTTCCACTGATAGGGCCATAGGTAAGTTTAAACTGAAGCTTAAAATGTAACATAGTTTCCAACCAAGTTTTACCTTGCTGGCTCCCAAAGCCATATTAGAAAGCACTCACCCTAGGATGCCCTTGTAATATTCAGTAATTATTACTGATCAATATTTATCTTTAGCAGGAACCAACTTTTTTTTTTCTTTAAGACAGGGTCTTACTCTGTTGCCCAGGCTGGAGTACAGTGGCTCAGTCATAGCTCACTACAGTCTCAAACTCCTCGGCTCAAGTGATCTCCCTGCCTCAGGCTCCCAAACAGCTGGAACTACAGGCATTAGCTACCACATCTGGCTAATTTTCTTCTTAATTTTGTTTTTACTTGAGATGGGGTCTCACTGTGTTGCCCAGGCTGATCTTAAACTCCTGGCCTCAAGCAATCCTCTCACTCCCCAAAGTGCTGGGATGATAGGTGTGAGCCCCCGGCAGGAACCAGATCTTAATCCCCTCAAATTTCACACTTCCAAATCAGAAGCAGGAAAAAAAAAAAACTGAATTTAAAAATCTCTTGTCCAATTAGTTATTGGTATCATATTAGTTAGAATCTTACCGAACCAGGAATAGAAAGAATTCTCTATTCTAGTAACAATATTAAAAATTGTTTTTTTTTTGTTAAAAATATATAAATGACTTAAATAGCCAGACTCAAGCCTGAGAACTGGCTCCACTACATACCAGCTTACATGACCTTGACAATGTCAGATAAATATAAATGGACCAAAAGAAAGGAATGATTTCATACTTGCTGTCTTGCTGGTGCCGGAGTATCTTTCTTCCTAAACGGCACTTTCTCAGTCATAGGCTTCCTTTGCACTGCTTTTGTTTTTGCCACGGCTAACGCCTCATCTTTGAAGCTTGCACTTTGGTCTAGGATAAATGGTCCTTCTTCCGGAAGGATATCCGCATCTAATACATCAAGCTCACTCTGCAACCTCTGGGTCTCCGGAAACTCCATTTCAGGCTGATACTTATCTATATGGAGATTTTTGAAGAACAAACTAAGGAAAATGCTATTCAAATCAAATTGCTGAGAATGATTATCTATACACAGATAAGCTCCAAATATCTATCCTAGCCCTGCTGAGAAGCGGATATTTTGTTGTTAACATTGTTCCTCCTCCTATGAATATTATTCAGGTTTATAATAGAAACCTAGGTGTCACAGTTGACTCCCTGAATCTTTGCTCTCATATTTACTCATTTACTTGGCCCCTTTGATCCTAATTCTAAAATAGCACTTACATTTATTCCTGTCCTTCCTTCCCTTTTGCTACTACCCAAGGTCAGGCTTGCCATATCTTGTGACTAAAATAATAGTGTCTCCTAACTGATCCCCTGTTTATCTTCACACTGTCTCCTGGCTACCAAAATTTTTCTTCTCAAATGTAATATTTAAATGTCACTTATATACTCAAAACCTTCAACGGCTCCTAATTTAATAGAGAATAAAGTCTGAACTCCATACAAGATATTCAACCTGCAATGGGAAAGGAAGCTGTCTCTATTTGAAGATGAGACAATATAGAAAATCAAAGAGACTCCACAGACAAACTATTAAAGCTGAGAAGAGGGGTCAGCAAGGTTTCTGGACATAAGAAGATGAACACACAAAATCAGTATTATCTCCACATTATCAAAATAACTAATAGAAAATATATGAGAAAAAAACTCATTAACATTGACAACAGAAACTATAAGGCATGTTGGAAGAAATCTAATGAAAGAAGCAAAAGGCTTTTACATAAAAATTTAAAAGGTAAAGGACAGGAAAGAAAATCTAAATACATTGTTTTCATGAATGAACAGACTGTAACGATGTCAGTTCTCCCCCGCCAAGTAATCCATAATTTCAAATGAATATTCAATTAAATCTCTAACAGATTTTTTTGATGCATCTAAACAAGTTGATACTAAAATTCATACAAAGTATAAAATCCCAATAGCCCAAATAATTTTGAAGAACAGCCAACAAAGTGGGGAGTGGGTGGAGGTAGGAATCTTACTCTTTCTTGCAAAGACAAAGTCTTAGTGAGAAAGCATTAAAGGCAGTGTGAGACTGATGCAAACACAGGCAGAAATCAATGAAACATAATGGATGTGACAAAGGCAGCATGATAAATCAGTGAGTATGAACTGGATTTTTCAAAAAACAGTGCTAAGATTACTAGTATCCATAGAGAAAAAAATAAAACAGGATCCTTGTATCACAATTGAACACTAAATTCTAAATGGAATGAAGACCTAAATGTGGAAAGAAAACCCTAAAGCTTTAATTAGAAAATACAGGAGACTGAGATCCAAGATGGCCCTTTTAGGAGCAGCAGCTTAGGATTGCAGCTCCCAGTGAAAGCGTAGCGGGTGTGTGGATGCCACATTTCCAGACGGATCTTTATTGTCCACAGACCAGGAGATTCCTAGGTGGAGGAGCCCTATGGGTCACCAGCGTGGCTGTTTTGCTGGCACTGCGGCGCAGCAGCTCTCCATACAAAATACACTGGTCTGGTTGCCCTTTTAAGCTGGCCAGGAGATTCCCGGGCAGTGCCGTTGTTTCAGCCGGTGCAGTAGGTTGCTGCACGGGAAATCACACAGATCCTGGCGCCCTTTCAGCAGGCGACTGGAACACCTAGGAGACAGTCAACCATTCAACTTAAAAAAAAAAAAAAAGGCTCTGAGGCAGGGAGCCAGGTGATCAAGCTTGACGGGTCACACCCCCACAAAAAAAAAAAAAAAAAAAAACAAAAAAAGCCCAGCAATTGGAAATGCTTAGGGTTGAGAGTTTCATGGCAAGCACAGCTGAACCCAGGTTGGTGGGGGAGGGGCGTCCGCCATTACCAAGGCACTCCACATCTAAGGATTTAGTCCACCATTGCTGAGGCAGCTTGCTGTTGCCAAGGCAACCCGCCATAACAGAGAGAGTCCCCCATTACAGAGGCGGGCCACCATTGCTGAGGCAGTTCTAGCCACACCTATATAAACAGGACTACAGGGAAGCTCAACGGCAGCAGGGCGGGGCTCAGCAAAGCGTCTGCAGGCAGAAAGTGACTAGGCTGCCTCCTTCCTGGGCAGGGCAGCCCTGAAAAAAAAAAAAGGCAGCAGAACAACGGACACTCATAATAAAGCCCTAACTCCCTGGGACAGAGCACCTGGGGAAAAAAAGGCAGTTTATGAGTTCTGCTGCAGCAGACTTAAATGTACCTGCCTAGCAGCTCTGAAAGAACAATGGAGCTCACAGCTCAACACTTGAGCTCCTATAAAGAAGAGACTGTCTCCTCAAGCAGCTCCCTGAACCCCGTATATCCAAAGAGTCAGCTCACAAAAGACTGATCAGACTAACATTTGGCAGGCATCATTCTGGGACAAAGATAGCAGAAGAAGACACTGGTAGCAACCCTTAACTGTTCTGCAGCTGCTGCAGGTGACGCCCCAGGCAAGCAGGGCCTGGAGTGGACCTCAGCAGTCCTACAGCATAGGGGCCAGACTGTTAGAAGGAAAACTAAGAAACAGAAATAACTTCATCATCAACAACCTGGACGTCCACTCAGAGACCCAATCTGAAAATCAGCAACTACACAGACGATGGGTGGATAAATCCACAAAGATGGGAAGCAACCAGCGCAAAAAGGAGGAAAACACCCGAAACCAGAACACCTTTCCTCCCACAAGGGATCACAACTCCTCACCAGCAAGGGAACAAAGCTGAATGGACAATGAGTGTGATGAAATGACAGAATCAAAATTCAGAAGGTGGGTAATGAGAAACTTCTGTGAGCTAAAAGAACATGTTTTAACTCAATGCAAAGAAACTAAGAAACTTGAAAAAAGATTTGAGGAAATGATAACAAGAATGGACAACTTAGAGAGGAATATGAGTGAATTCATGGAGCTGAAAAACACAACACAAGAACTTAGGGAAGCAAGCACAAGTTTCAGCAGCCGAATTGACCAAGCAGAAGAAAGGATATCAGAGGTCGAAGATCAACTCAATGAAATAAAATGAGAAGGCAAGATTAGAGAAAAAAGTGCAAAAAGGAATGAACAAAGTCTCCAAGAAATGTGGGACTATGTGAAGAGATCTAATCTACGTTTGATAGGTGTACCTGAATGTGATGAAGAGAATGAATCCAAGCTGGAAAATACTCTTCAGGATATTATCCAGGAAAACTTCCCCAACCTAGCAAGGCAGGCCAATATTCAAGTCCAGGAAATACAGAGAACACCACAAAGATATTCTGCAAGAAGAGCAACCCCAAGGCACATAATCGTCAGATTCACCAGGGTTGAAATGAAAGAGAAAATGCTAAGGGCGGCCAGAGACAAAGGTCGGGTCACCCACAAAGGGAAGCCCATCAGACTCACAGCAGATCTCTCGGCAGAAACCCTACAAGCCAGAAGAGAGTGGGGGCCAATATTCAACATCCTTAAAGAAAAGAACTTTCAACCCAGAATTTCATATCCAGCCAAACTGAGATTTGTAAGTGAAGGAAAAATAAAATCCTTTGCGAACGAGCAAGTACTCAGAGATTTTGTCACCACCAGGCCTGCTTTACAAGAGCTCCTGAAAGAGGCACTACACATAGAAAGGAACAACCAGTACCAGCCATTCCAAAAACATACCAAATGCTAAAGAGCATCAATAAAAGGAAGAATCTGCATCAACTAATGGGCAAAATAGACAGCTAGCATCAAAATGGCAGGATCAAATTCACACATAACAATATTAACCCTAAATGTAAATGGGCTAAATGCACCAATCAAAAGACACAGACTGGCAAATTGGATAAAAAGCCAAAACGCATCAGTGTGCTGTATCCAGGAAACCCATCTTACATGCAAGGATACACAAAGGCTCAAAATAAAGGGATGGAGGAAGATTTACCAAGCAAATGGAGAGCAAAAAAAAGCAGGAGTTGCAATTCTTGTCTCTGATAAAATAAACTTTAAAGCAACAAAGATCAAAAGAGACAAAGAAGGACATTACATAATGGTAAAAGGATCCATACAACAAGAAGAGCTAATGGTCCTAAATATATATGGACCCAATACAGGGGCACCCAGATACATAAGGCAAGTTCTTAATGACTTACAAAGAGACTTAGACTCCCACACAATAATAGCGGGAGACTTTAACACTCCACTGTCAATATTAGACAGATCAACCAGACAGAAAATTAACAAGGATATCCAGGACCTGAACTCAGACCTGGAACAAGCAAACCTGATAGACATTTACAGAACTCTCCACCCCAAATCCACAGAATATACATTCTTCTCAGCACCACATCACACCTACTCTAAAATACTACCACATAATTGGAAGTAAATCACTCCTCGGCAAATGCAAAAGAACGGAAATTATAACAAACGGTCTCTCAGACCACAGTGCAATCAAGTTAGAACTCAGAATTCAGAAACTAACTCAGAACCGCACATCTTCAGGGAAACCAAACAACTGGCTCTTGAATGTTGACTGGATAAACAATGAAATGAAGGCATAAATAAAGAAGTTCTTTGAAACCAACGAAAACGAAGACACAACATACCAGAATCTCTGGAACACATTTAAAGCAGTCTCTAGAGGAAAATATATAGCAATAAGTGCCCACATGAGAAGAGTGGAGAGATCCAAAATTGACACCCTATCATCAAAATTGAAAGAGCTAGAGGAGCAAGTTCAAAAAAACTCAAAACCTAGCAGAAGACAAGAAATAACTAAGATCAGAGCAGAACTGAAGGAGATAGAGACACGAAAAACCCTTCAAAAAATTAATAAATCCAGGAGCTGGTTTTTCGAAAAGATCAACAAAATAGACCACTAGCCAGATTAATTTAAAAAAAAGAGAGAGAATAATGAAATAGATGCAATAAAAAACGATAAAGGGGAAATCACCACAGATCCCACAGAAATTCAAACCATCATCAGAGAATATTACAAACAACTCTATGCACATAAACTAGTAAACCTGGAAGAAATG